TAAATTAATCCTATTTGTACCAGTTGTGTAAACAATAATAAAAGTAAAGAGGCAAAGAATTCTCATTTAACATTTATTGATACAACACTATTTCTTAATTAAATTAAAATTGAATTTTTCCAAATGGTTTCAGAGCAAAGAATCATTTAAAAATTCTCTTGACTGTACCAAGATTCAGATTATTCGTGAGTAAAAAGTGGTTGATACATCTAATACTTTAACTCTTAGAAAACACCTACAAAGCATAGATATATTTTTAGGTTATGTAATAAGGAAGAACCACCCATATTTTTGCAAAGAATTGCATCAATGACCTTACACTTCTTAAGAAAAGAAACGAGTCAATTGAACTGAACTAAGGGACTAGTAAAAGTATACACCAGAAAGCTGCAGTGCTTGGAGAATATCAAATTCCCAATAAGAGCAAAAGTGTGATATTGAAAACAAAACTGCAAGTTTATTTTACAGCCATTATTGAAAGCTGAAAATCAATCTCATTCAGTTCATTCAGTCTACCCATAGCAACAACTAATTAATTATTAAAAGTGGGGTGCCAGTGGCTTTGATTCGAAACTGAATTTGAATCCAAAATTCTTCCAGATGGGCTTTTTACAATGAAAAATACAGGAATCCACTATACTATTTGTTTTCCTTGGGTCACTTTTGACTATAATCTGCCTTTCTTCCCTTGTGACCTAAAAGATTGACCCTCTTTTTTTCCATGTACTGAAACGTGCAGTACCTTTAAAGAAGTTGAGCATTTTTGTGTTTCTCTAGGCGTTAATGTCACCTGTAGTTTTTCAGGCTTATGCTTTACAGTAACTTACAAGATGGCAGAGTTGCAGGTTTCTTGCTAAGTTTTTCTCAGTTTCTTAAGGTGGTAAATGGGCAATGGCCAGTAATGAGGCCTTTTCAATATTTCTTACCTACGAGCCTGTTTTCATTTTTGTATGTCATCTTCTGGATATATGTATGTATACAACGGAGGCAATGGCAGTGTCGCTTCTACTGCTGAAGTTGGGCAAGTATGTTAAGACATGCTAATTGTATTTTTGTTAATTAAATTGTATCTTCTTTTCCAAGGTTTTTGGCCACCATAATAAGTCTCCTCATGACCAGTCTATCCATTGTATACAGCCAGCAGGCTGTTTTTGGATATTTCACTAAAAAATTTTTGGCCCATTTGCATTTTTTATTGTTTTATCTAACAACAAAAGAGTGTTTTATTTTATATTTTCTTATATAAGGCACTTATTTTATGTTTTGAAAGTCACACAGCAGATAGATATTTTACATTTTATTACTTGCAGTTTTAAAACTTTTCGCTGTACTAGGCTAAAAAATTTATCGAATATGTCCGCCCTTTCATTTTGAAATGTAATTAAATTCCCCTGTTTATTTGATCACTTACTGCATAAGAAAGCATTGTAAAAATAAAGTAGCATATCAGTGACTAAAGATTAAATTAATCCTATCTGTACCAGTTGTGTCAACAATAATAAAAGTGAAGAGAAATGAGAGCCTGTAAACATTTATTTATACAACTACATTACTTCTGAATTAAATTAAAATTTAATTTTACCAAATGGTTTCAGTGTAAAGAAGCATTTAATTATTCCAAGTATGTTTTCAACTTTTAGAATTTTGCACTAAAGTGATTTGATTTTTTGTGGCTGGAACATTTGGTTGAACCTGAAGGTTCAGGTCCATCCAAATGGATTGATACGTAGATGAGTTGTTTATTCTATAGTGAGAGTTTCTGTTGTAAGGTTAAATAAATGCATTCTATCCGTCAGCCCTTTAATTTTAAATATATGCAAATTTATAATATTTTATTTTCAGTCAAGTATGGGGTTCCAATTGATTTAACTATGTAAAGTCCCGGACAGAAGAGGAAGTGAAGGTTATTTGCTAGGATGTTCTTTTGCTGAGTCTGATCCTCTACTCCTTGAAACATTCTTCAAAACAAGAGTCTTGTAGGTGTTGAAGGCTACTAGGTCTGGATTTGCCAGAAGTATGGCAATATTGTCTGCATATGTGGCAAGGTCAGTATTGATATATATCAGTAGTGAATACTGAATAGAGTATGGGACCAAGGATGCTGCCTTGCAAACACCCACTTCAACATACTGGCATTTATAAATATTATTCGTTTCGTTTACAACTCACTTAAGATGTAAAATTTTTTATACAACTATTTGATATATCTGGTCTTTGAAATAGTATTTTTTCTTGTTGTATTTGTCCTTGTACCTCCTATCTAATTGTTATATACTTGCTTATTTTACACTGCAATGTGAAATTTTTGTTTGACACTCATGTTGTTTTTATAAAGTTACTATTGGCGTTGCTCAGGGGGATAATAAAAAGTGTTTTTTAACACATTATTTTAAGTCATGTTGAACCAGCACAGGTCACTTACTGGATCTGTCTCTAGATCAAAAAATTTATGGGTTAAATTTATACATTTGAACCACATTCTTTTATTATTCCAGGTTGATTTTACCTTTGAAGTGTTGAGGTTTTAGGAACTTCAAGTACATTTAAGAAAGGTAATTAAATGAAGAAGTTTTGTATATGGTATGATATCCTTACAAACATATTTGTCGAAAAACAGTTATTTTTGGAAATTTATGAAAAGTTTTTCCATTTTTAAAATCCTTCCTTTTGGGTTGAATTAATAAACATACATCGTTGTTTGATAAGATTAAAAATAGCTCCTTCTTATAGAAAATGTAATGTAGTTGAAAATTGGAACAGATGCTCTAGATCCTGAAAAAATGCCAATTTATGGCTTCAAGTCGAGATTTTTTCCAAAAAAACACGTAAAAATTCATAACTTCCGACTGGATTGAGATAGAACAGTTCAATTAGTTGCATGTTTCTCTATTTAGGATGTACTATGACGCAATTTTTCACGGGTTTATGCTAGACCACCCTGTATAATGTTTTGTGCCCAGATTTTCAAATGGTTTTCGTCAGTTTTATAAAATTCAATGAACCTGATGAATCTGTAAATGGGGGAAAAAACTTTACCCACTTATTGCAATGTTGAAAAGTAAACAGTATAATAAATAAAATAAATAAATGAAAATAAAACATATTAGTCCTAACCCTAACCCTAAACCTTCCTAACCTAATCTAACCCATCACTACTTGTGACTGTATCTCTAAACTGACCTAACTAAACCTTACCCGTCCCTAACCTTAACCATAATCCATTTAACCTAATCATTCTTATCCTAACCCAACCACCTGCACTCCCTGGCAACGCAAAATCCATTACACAAAAATGATAAAGTAAAAAGTGTGTATCCAGCACAAAAATTATCCATTTTAAAACTGGCTGTCTCTAAATACTCCACTTAGAAGAAAATATATGTTTTTTATGCATATGCTCGATTTAACCATTTAAATGGTAACCTTATATTTTTTTTCCATAGTTTCCGTCAATGTCATATTTTGGCAATATCTTAGGCTTTTCTGAACCGATGTTCAAATGGTTTTCGTCGGTTTTCATAAAATCCAATGAACTTGATCAATTTAAATGAAATCGTTTGTTACCATTTGAAAAAATGTAGGTTTTGCAATGCTTGAAAGTAGAGCTTATTATACAGAAAATGTACCCCTTTCGTAACCCTATCCTCAATCCATCACTAACCCTAGCCTAAGCACAAATAAATAAAAACTGCACTTACTGCAATGTTTGAAAGCAGAGCTAATAAAATAAAAAAACCTGATCCCCTAACAATATCCTTAATTTAACCAACGTAATTTAATGTGACCCGTCCCTAATCGTAACTCTAGGTTAAACTAACAGTTTCTAACAGTAACTATAACCCACCAAACCTAATCATTCTTAACCTGGTACATTTTGTTTTTTGCCTTATATGATTAAATCATTTTTGCGATATCTGTTTTTCTGAACCGATTTTCAAATAGTTTTCGTAAGATTTCACATGATCGAAAGAACCTGATGAATCTAGAAATGAAAATGTTTGTTACCAGTAAAAAAAGGACTTTTTCCACTGTTTGAAAGTAGAGCTTATAATAAAAAATATATATATTTTAAAAACGTACCTCGTAACTAACCCTATAATTAAACCAATCCTAACTAATCTTTAACCCATTCCTATCAGTAACCATAAACCCTAACACTAACTCAACCCAGCCCTAACCTCATCATTCCTTACCGAACCCTACCCACGCGCCCTCCCTGGTAAAATCCATGACGCGAAAATATTAAAGCAAAAAATATGTATCCAGTCCAAAACTTATCCATCTTAAAACCAGTTTAGGTTGAGCTGTTTTTGAGAACCGATTTTTAAATTGTTTTGGTTATATTTGATAAAATCGAATGAATACGGTTTATCTGCAAATCGTGATATTTCAACCTGTGGTCTGTGTGCTGACGAACCTGAAATTTGGTCCTTTCGGATCATCTTTGTCAGCCGACCTTTCCTGGTATTTGGCCATATTTTAATGCCAAAGTGGCCGGGAGCCCTTGTGTCCGATTTTCATTTGTCTATTTCTTGTTCTGCCTATCCTCGCGGAGTTGGTCTGTCATAGGTTCGGTATTTCGCAGGTTAAGGAGTGTAAGTAGGCTTAAATTATATCATGGGTCGATGGTTCCGTACATATATAAAATTTTAGTGTGCTGTAGGTTTTGTGAGACCTGCACAGACACACTGAAGATGACAGACCAACCCAGCGAGGATAGGCATATCAGGGAAAAAGAAAACAACCGTAAACAAAATTTTGATTAATTATACTTTTTAACTAAGGTCTTGAATAAGATAAAAAGTAATTAAAATAATTAATTTGGTCAATTTTGACTACTAAATACATATGTGTAAATATAATGTTTATGCTAAAAACCGGGCTTAAACATTTTTCANTTGTGCCATAACGAATAAGCATCGTGAGAGACGATCATTTGAGTGGGTGCTGGAGAGGTGACGTCACCGGTAGCAAGAGAGTCGAAGCAAGCTATCAAGCATCTGTTCCAGTGAGTCAGTCGAGTCCCAGGCATTGCGCTGACAACACCCGCTGGATCGCGCATGAAGCCAACGTCGGTGGACTAAAAACGACGCGTTTCTGAATAATAAATCAACCATGGACGACACGTGCGTCGCGCCGAAATCCAACTCGCTCCACTTCAATCATTTCAGACCTGCTGAGGACGAGAGGCAGACAGACGAAATCAAAGAAACAAGCGGTCAGTTGATATTTTCTTAACGCTATTTTTTTTTCTATATTATAAATTATCGGATGGAATTCGCTTATGGTTGGGGAGAAAAATTTTGACATGTCGGATCTGGAGTGTCTAGCATGATCTTTCAACAAAAGGACGGTTAGTTTAATAGCTTAACAAAACAGTAATAAAAATTTTACATTTAAAAATAACCAAAATAACAAATACCTACATATATAATTTTACAACTGCATAGAAATAAATCATACTGTCAGGAAAATGAAACACAACAAATCTGCCTTTGATGTTTAATTATATTTAAAAAATAAGTAAACCAGACAAACTAATATAAAATAATTTAAAATATAATATTTTTTAATAATCTTTCAATGAATTATACAAAAATTACAATCTATACGTGCAAATAAATGACTAATTATCCTATAACCGCAAGATTTAAAAAAAAAGGTAAATTTGTCGTAATATGAAAAATAAAAATAAAAATAAATGAACCAAACAATGTAATATAAAATCATCTAAAAATATAATGTTTTGTAATAACCTGTCAGTAATTTATACGTGCAAATAAATGACTAATTGTCCTATAACCGAAATATTTCAAAAAAACAGATCAATCTGTCGTTCTATGAAAAAAAGAAAAATAATAAACCAGACAATCTAACATAAAATTATCTCGAAATATAATGTTTTTTAATAACTTGTCAGTAATTATACAAAAATTACAATCTATACGTGCAAATAAATGACTAATTATCCTATAATCGCAAGGTTTAAAAAAATGATCAATTTGTCGTAATATGAAAAAAAACAAAAACAAACAGAAAATCAAATATCAAATCATCTAAAATATAATGTTTTTTTATAACCTGTCAGTAATTTATTCAAAAATTACAATCTAAACGTGCAAATAAATGACTAATTATCCTATAACCGCAAGGTTTAAAAAAATGATCAATTTGTCGTAATATGAAAAAAAACAAAAACAAACAGAAAATCAAATATCAAATCATCTAAAATATAATGTTTTTTAATAACCTGTCAGTAATTTATTCAAAAATTACAATCTAAACGTGCAAATAAATGACTAATTATCCTATAACCGCAAGGTTTAAAAAAATGGTCAATTTGTCGTAATATGAAAAAAAAAAAACAGACAATCTAACATCAAATCATCTAAAATATAATGTTTTTTTATAACCTGTCAGTAATTTATACAAAAATGACAATCTAAACGTGCAAATAAATGACTAATTATCCTATAACCGCAAGGTTTAAAAAAATGGTCAATTTGTCGTAATATGAAAAAAAAAAAACAGACAATCTAACATCAAATCATCTAAAATATAATGTTTTTTTATAACCTGTCAGTAATTTATACAAAAATGACAATCTAAACGTGCAAATAAATGACTAATTATCCTATAACCGCAAGGTTTAAAAAAATGATCAATTTGTCGTAATATGAAAAAAAAACACCAGAAAATCAAATATCAAATCATCTAAAATATATTGTTTTCGTCTGAAAAGCTGGTCTATTAAATAGGTTTAAAAATTGTCAACCATTTATTTATTTTTACTTTAAATTTTACATTTTGATCCGTAATTTTATAATACATATTACATAGTAATTTATTGTCTTGTTTGTATGTATTTAGGTTTATTTTGCCTCAATTTTAAATTAAAATTTTCATTAACTTAAGGCTTTTTTTTGGTTGTAATAGCGAATATGGGTTGTGTAATTGACTGTTCTCTCCTGAGATTTTTCCCTGTTTGATTAATTCGATGGATAAACAAATAAATAAAACATAATATAACTTATCAATAATTATATAAAAATATACAATCTGTACGTGCACATAAGTGACTAAACGCTTTGATTAAGAAATGGGTCATTGAAAAAAAAAGAAAAACAATAAACCAGTCAATTTAATATAATAATCTAAAAAATAATATTTTTTAATAACCTTCAACAATTTATACAAAAATAACAATTTATACGTACGCATAAGTGACTAATTATATACTTTTAACTCAAAACTAGTACGGGAATGCCTAAATTATCTAATGGGCCTAGAAGAACACAAATTTTCTAAACACGAAAGTATAGAAAGAAGCCAACTGGGCGTCCAACTATCCAAACAAGGGCCAGTCCATGGGACAAGACCCACAACTAAGCTCACTGAATGGTGTGTCAAAGTTGGATCTGGAAAAATGGATGGAGAAAGAGTAGAAATGACTCCTGCGATACAAATAAATAAATCCAGTTCTAAGGAGAAGCCAGCACAACTTATAGATTGAACTCAGCTTGGACTGATCCCAAGTGAAGAAAGATACCCTTAACTTCCAGAAAGAGGAATTCCATAAATTAATGATAGAACAGGATGTAGGAGTAAAAGAGTCATATTACACCATAGTGAAACCCGTTGAACTCGTTCCAAATTTCTTCCATTCAGGCAGACTTTTAGCACAAAACTAGTACGGGAATGCCTAAAATGTCTAATGGGCCTACAAAAAACAAAAGGTTCTTGACTTTTCGGGAAGGTAGAGAAAGAAACTAACTGGGCAACCAACTATCCAAAGAAGTCCACGGCACAAAGCGCATTGGATAGTGTACTAAAGTTGGATCGAAAAAGAGTGGAAAAATGGCTCGAGAAAGAGTGCAAAAAACCCCTGAGATACGAAAGGAAACGGCTGTGGCATTCAAGCATATTTTAGAAGCAGTTAATAGAACACACCCGACTTCACGGCCGTTCCTTTTATACGAGGATGTGCCCGTGTGGCCTATTCTTAATCTAAGAGGAAAAAAACCGTCTCTGATGCATTGATTTCATCTAACCTGCCATGCCAGTCCTTCTGGTCTTAATCAGTCAATCTCTGTTTATTATTTTTGCGAATACTTTTATTTCTTAGTTTCAATTGACAAGTTCATCATTTTTGAAAGATTTTAATTAAAATATAGGAAAATCGCTAGATTTGTTAAATATCACATAGGAGTATAAAATATTTATTTGTATTAACAGAAGGGTTGGTCTAATATGAGTGGGTTGAATGCCCACTGTTTTGAGTGACACGATCCTAGACAATACTCGATTGATTGTGAGTAGTTCCAGGTCATTGTGCTTTCATCTAATTGTCGCTCGCTCGGAGCGAGCCTGTTTCTTCTATTTCCCAAAAGGGCCTGCAAATAGAATCTAATTTGTTTCTTCAGATGGCCGTCTATGTTTCCATTGGGCTAATGTTAGATTAAATTTAGAACCTTTGATCATTTTGTTAGCAAAGCTTCCAAAAAAAAGTGTTTAAAAACTGTTTAAAAATGGTTGTCGGAAATCTAGAAGAATCTCTTCTCTATGGTCCATCATTTTCCTTCAACTAAAAAACATAGTTTTATTCTATGCCAAATTATTTAAAAGAATGACTTCCGTGTCGGTGTTGAAACTGAATGTATAATTATAGATATACTTTTGCGAGGGACCATCAGACTATTCATTGTGTATTAAAATATTTTCCTCAATTAAAAAATTCCATAAGCTGTGCCAGGATTCGAACCCAGAACCTCTAGCGTTGCAAATGCGAATAACCACTCGAGCTAATCCCCAGTTTAACAATAGTTTAACGAATATTTTATCTACATAAAATGATGAACAGAAAAATCATATAATAATAACAATCATTTGACCTTTTCTGAACCTGAATAAAGTCAATGAGAGTATGCTTTTTGCTTTTTTTAATTTTCAGAAACACATACAATCATAAAAGAATCAATATGATCAGAGATAATGTTAAACTTCACAAGTCAGTAGTTGCCCAAGCCACCGTAATTTTCAATAGGTGGATCGGGTTTTTCTATTACCAGTAAGGCAGAAACTCAGCTGAATCAATTTGTGGGTCATTAAGCCCATGAAAAGTTCTCGTGAAAAACTATTGGCCAGTATTGACTTTAATTACTCAGTCGAACTTACTAACGAAACTTTCATATTGCTTATTGATCCCAAGCCCAACAGGCGAATACCGAGATTAGTAAAAAAACGTTTTTCCTTAAAAATTAAATTTAACGCTTTTTTTTAATCAGAAAAGAAACTTAATCCAATCCGTTTTTTTTCGCATCAAAGGCATACTCGATCAGCATTATCTATACTGTACAACCTTCTTAATTTTTTGAACTTTACTCAAAAGCGATTGTCTCAAAAATCAAATAGCTGGTATGGTATGGTATGGTAAAAAGGATACTAGGAAGCGGAGTTTGCGATCCCCAGGCACTGCAGCCTTATGGCTTATTGTACCTTCCTAGTTCCTTAGTTCAGTGCAATAGACTCAATCCTTCTTCTTAGAAGTATCAGGTCATTGACTGTCGCTGCTACAATTTCATTCCCTAAGTTTTTTCTTATGTTAGGTTAAACCTCCATTGAGCTGTTGCTTCGCATTCGAAGATGATATGAGTGGCTGTTTCCTCCTCCTCATTACATAATCTGCAAATGGGATCATCGTTGTATATGCCCATGTTGTGTAGATGTTTTCTCAGATGCCAGTGACCGGTTAGTAGTCCCACCACTCCTCTGAGTTTGGCCCTCTACAATTGCAGCAATGCTTTTGCCAGTCTTGGTGGGGGTTGTTTCATCATAAGTTTACTACGTCTAGCACCGCGATCCTTCTCTGGCCAGTCTGTCTGCTTTCTCGTTACCCGAAATTCCCCTGTGCTCTGGCACCCAAGATATCAGGTTGTTGTGTTTCCCCAGGTTTTGGAGATTTTGGACGCATTCACTGACTATTTTTGATATGATTCTTTTACATGCTAATGCTTTAATGGCTGCTTGGCTATCAGATCTTATGAGGATTGACCAGTGTAACTTCTTTTAAGATTTACCAGGGCACAAGCATTGATGGCATGTATTTCTGCTTGAAAGACCGAAGTGTACTTCCCTAATGAGTTTGATTGCTCATGTTTTGGGCTTGTACAGAAAACGTTGATCCGGTTCCTTCGTTTGTTTTGGAGCCATCTGTGTACC